CGTGCCAGGAAGTCCTCGATCAGACGCACACCAATGTTATAACCCCTGTGGAAGTCAGAACGTCAGAGAGAGAGAGAAGTGGGTAAGAGACAAAGTCATGTTTTCTTTTTATATTAAAGGAAAAGTAGTTGGGGGGGGAAAAGACAGGCTAACCTGCGGCAAACTGTAAAGCCATGGCAGACAGCTTCAAATCCTTCAAAATATTTTTGGTTCATATACTTGCCAAATAATGACATTTCTGATTAAAGAGTCCAGACAACTTAACCTAACAGCAGACTCTGAAGCCAATGGATGCATCCCAATCCTAACATGGTCCGTCTCTAACCAGCTGGATGGTATCTGGCAGACTGGGCAGTGCAGATTCACTGCCTTCTAAGGCCAGGTAAGACGAGCCTCGTCCCGACAGCTCAGGGTTACCGCACAGCCAGAGAAACAAAGTACATCCAGTCCAACGGTCTGTCAGCATGACAGGATAATTTCAATTTCTGAAGTTAGAAACCAATCATTTTGTCTTAATCTTATTCTGGGGGAGTACTGTCTCCTGCTTGGCATTCCTAAGATTCTTCTGTCTTAATATTAAATAATTGCTTCTTCAAAAGACCCCATCCAAAGAACTTACAAGAGGAGAAGCAGCAGTGTAAGAAATTAAATCCGATAAGACTACGTCTCTGCTCCATTTTGTGTCAAGCTATGTTATGAACTGAAAATAGGAAAACGCTTAAAAAGTATAATGAAGCTGTCAGCTATAAAGAGTCACCCAAGAGGCTTCAAAAATCCCAAAGGATGCATGATTGAGAGTCTGTGAAGGTTCTCAGTCATCCAGGTCATCGTAGTCAAAGGAGCTTACTTGAAGACGTTTCACCTCTCATCCGAGAAGCTTCTTCAGTTCTAAACACAGACTTAACAATGTGGTGTATGCTGTACAGTGCAGAGAGGAATGCCCAGACCTCTACATTGGAGAGACCAAACAGCCACTTCACAAGCGCATGGCACAACACAGAAGAGCCACCTCCACAGGACAAGACTCAGCTGTCCATCTGCATCTTAAGGATAAAGGACACTCTTTCGAGGATGCCAATGTTCACATTTTGGACAGAGAGGACAGATGGTTTGAAAGAGGAGTGAAAGAAGCCATCTATGTCCACTGTGAGCGACCATCTTTGAACAGAGGCGGTGGTTTACGACACCAACTCTCTACCATCTATAATCCAGTTTTGAGATCCCTTCCCAGACGCCTTAACGCCCACTCACATCCTGGGCCATCTGACCTCAGGAATTCGCATGATAAGGTGGGGCCAGGTTTCACAATGAACTCACCCGAAACTCTGGCTGATTGGGACCCACACCCAGTTTCACACCTTGGCTCAGGCGATTAGAGGATCATCAGGGGGTCCATTTGTCCCTCTGTGGGGGGATACTCCCACTAGGTTTATATCTGGGACTCTCCACCATTTGACCTTAGAACTGAAGAAGCTTCTCGGATGAGAGGTGAAACGTCTTCAAGTAACTTAAAGAAGTCCAGACGCTTTTCTTTGCAAGCTCCTTTGACCATGATTGAGAGCATCCATTGAAAACCACAGGCTCAACATATGCGAGACAGAAGCACTGAACTTTGTTACAGATAAATACTCATGTACAGAATACTCGGCAATACCTTGTCATCAGCATTATACTTCCTGTGATACGTTCAAAATTATGTATGATGTTATAAATTGTGTGTTTATTGCATTATGGCTTTGTGATGCACACCTGCACATCATAACAGTTATGTAGTAAGTTTCAGCGGCTTGGAATTATCTACCAGAAGAGCCAGGTTTATGTTTCCTAATGTATCAAATTAAACAGGCTGAATGATAGCACATACTTAATGGTACATACATGAATTTATTAACTATAAATTAAACAAAGGGTGCCTTTGTTTTGACCTCAGATCATCAGTTTGAGATGATCTGAGGTTTGGGACATGGTACTTAATCCTGCTGGAAACAACCATCAGAAGATGGATACACTACAAATTATTACATCACCAGCTTGATGCCGGACTGATCCATGCCTTCATGTTATTTAATAGCTTATCAAGCTTATCAAGCTTTTACGAGCTTAAAAGTCAGTTTTCTGTGTCACAAAAGTGGCTCTCTTTTTACCTAGCTAAATCACCGTGGTAACTTATGCTGAAGACCTGACCAGGTTATGTTCCAATTTTCAGTTTAAAATAAGCTCGATGTAGCAAGTTCGCACATGTTTTTTAATTTGGTGCCAAATCTCTTTTACATTGCTGGAATTGCAGCTACCAGAACAAAACACATCAATTTCACTTTCCTCTGCTGACAAAGTAAAATGATTTCCACATCTCCTTTGTTAGGCTACAGAACAGTAACCTTTAATGTTTAAATGGACCTAGTTCAAAGATTCAAAGCTCAAATGTGTCGCAGTCACCTTTAAAATAAATAGCAGCACACGGAACTGTTTATGTACCGCTGTGTGAAATAAACCCCAAGATTAATGTTCTTCAGTAGCATTGTAGCTCTTTGTGACAATGTTGCATTTTACTGGTATATTTTTATATTTGATATAGATTTTTAATCACTATTTTATGATCATTATCTAAAGATTTGTCTCTTATTGCAGTAGGTGATACTCACTTTGTGTGAAAGAAGAGTCACATGACCTGCAAAATCACTATTTTTATGTAATCATTCACATAGCAGAGCAGAAATGCAGCTTAACAGAAAGGTGGTAAAAAGCACTGTGGTGGCCATTTTCGGTGACTGGGGCTTTCGACTGTGTCAAGCCAGCTAACACAGAAAAAGCGCTGCGGTTTTGAACTTCATTCATCGTCTGGTGTGATCTTCTGCTGCTGTATCCCAGTGTTTGACACACTGTGTATTCACAGATGCTCTTCTACATACCTTGGTGGGAACAAGTGCTTATTTGAGTTACTGTTGCCTCCCTAACAGCTTGAGACAGGATAACCTAAATGAACTGAGGTGTTATGTGATTGGCTGATTAGGAATTTGTGTTGAAGGGCAGCAAATAGATGTACCTCATAAAGTGCCTAGTTACTGTTTAAGTGATGGAAAAGTTTACCTTCTGTGTTTCTAATTAAGTAATGCTTTTTTGCTTCACACAGCAAGTGCATTTAACAGTATTTACACAATTTTCAAACGACAGCTGGGTGTGAGCCCCAAAAGAGAATTTGGCCAGACTCAAGATTAATTCACAGTTTGTTATTCAAATGGTCACAAATTGAAGCACAAATGTCTGTCTGTTGTGCTTAAAGAAATGCCTTTACTGTATGAGGAGCAAAATGGTTCGTTCAAAGACAGGAAAAATCCTGCTTGAAGAGTACTCACATCTTATCCAGCTGTTTATTGACCTCCTCATCATTCTCATAGTCTTTACAAAGCTGGGTGACCAGGGCCCCATAAGTCAGTGTGAACAACTCCGAGTTCTAAAAAACAAACAAACAAACAAACAAACAAAAAACCAACAGATAAACTACTCAAAAACCACACAGATCACATGTTATCTTTGCCCCACACAAATGACAACCTTTTTTCCAGCAAGCAAAGCCTATATAAAACACTTTAAGTTAAATAATAATTTGGGGGTGGGATATTTTTGAGCATTTAGAAGTTAAACAGATCGTCCCAGGGCAGCTCTTAGAACTGAACTAACGTTTGATGCCAGCTTAGGATTGAAAAACGTTTCATTAATATGTGGCACATTTTTCTATTGCTGATCTTTCAGTTTTCACACCAAACTTTAAAAGCTATACAGATCTAATGCTATTACCATAAAATAACTGTTAAGATTAGAGCCACAGCTGACACGAATGACCTGTCACGGCACAGGAGCTACAATACCTGCTTGGAAAATAGTGTTTTAGCGTCGCTTTTAGAAAGGTATATTACAGTTTTAGCCAGCTCAGTTAATAAATTGTAAATTCATATACGTTCAACTGAAAAATCCTTTAAGAAATTGCTTTTAAATGTGTTTTTGTGTTTTGTTGTCATTTGTAGACTACTTAGCTTGTAGCTCCACTTCCTGTCAAAGCCAAACCCGACATTAATCAACAGTGAAATAAATGTTAAACACGTACAAATATACCTCTTGTACCTAGCCACACGTGCAAGATAAATATGCATAATTTGGCGAGTAGCTCAGATCAGAGACATGAGTGAGTTGTTAATTTAGCCTTACAGCCACGGTTAGCATCCTGCTAGCTAAGCTTGCTATGTTGCCATTAATCCTGTGGGAGTCGCCTACCATCTTCTTGCTGTCTGTTGCCCGGTTGGCTTGTCTGGACATTGTGACGGGTGTTACGGGCTTACACAGGTGGTGCACTCGATATTAATCCTTTATTTATTTGATTCGGGCTAAGCAGTTATTTCCGTAATCGCCTGTTTAAGTCGCTCTCGCTGTATCAAGCGTCATGAGATAGAAACATGAACTTCCGGTCCTACTTAAAAGTAAAAGTTTTATTGCGGGAAATTCGCGAGTAAACCATTGAAACTAAAGAAAACGGTGCAATGAGGAATAAAAAGCCTTTAAAATTACACTCTGTTGTTGCCGATATCCAGACAAATGTAGCCTCTTATGTATAACACCAGATAATACACTTTATTTTGAAAGGAAACGCATTTTTCCCTACAGTTTTAGGGGTGTGTTTGACGCAGTTTTTGTTCAGCTGCTTATCTTACCGCCCTCTGGCGTCTTGGAGGGGAACAGAGGACCGCAAATTCTTGGTCTCAACAAAATCTTCCCATAATTGACCACACGATGGCGATATGGGTAATATATTGATAAATTGTGAGATTTAAAAGCCTGCTTTATGAAATTGTAAGATTCCTTGACAAATAATTTAAACCTATAGTCGTTAAAAAAGTTTTTTCTCAATAAGTGTAGTGATTACTCTTGCTCATAACATAACTTTTAACTCTACAGATATTGTCCGTGTGTGAAAGAGAGAGATAAAGTGAGGTAGAGGGAGAGGAAGAGAGAGAGAGAGAAAGACGGAGGAAGGGGGTTCACACAGAGAGAGAATATAGTAGTGATATGTAACAGATGTGCTTCAAAGTCAGCATCACATTTTGAATCTCAGACATCACATGGCATCCTCTTCGTCCTGATTGGGGGTATTTTCACCTCGAATAAGCCGCATGCTGGTTGGTTGAAAGGCAATCATCCCATCGTCGTGAAGCAAACTCTGCGCTCCACAGCGAGGAGGAGGAAGAAGAGGGACGGCGGAGCAGATCGCCCGTGCTCACACTTTCCTTTTTTGTTAAGGGCTCGTTTGGCAATAGCCGGCACAGACCGTAAGAACTGTTGTGTTGGTGGTGGTGGTGGAGGAGGATGATGACGGGCAAATCTGTGAAAGACGTTGACAGATACCAGGCTGTCCTCAACTCTTTACTGGCGCTGGAGGAGAACAAATACTGCGCTGACTGTGAATCGAAAGGTAGGTGATTTCCATCAGGGTCATGTTTCCCCGGGTTTTGTGCCCGAGGCGCGCGCCCGGCGCTTGAATCGACCCTCTTTGATCGTTTACTACGCTGGAAAAAAAAATGCTGCACTGCATTCATCATCCCTCGACCAATTGCATTGTACTATGGTGCAAAGACGTGGAGCCACATCCTTACACGGCTGGAGCATGGCATGCAGTTACATCATGCCAAGCTACCATAAGTAATAGGATCTAAAAAGGGTGAGAACTGCGTGGCGGGATGAAGTGAGAAAATGCGCTCATTAGTGAAAACGACTCCAGCTATTGCCGCTCAGGTTGTCTGACAGCCGGTGTGGAAAGAGCAGGGAAGCAGGCACAGAGATGGAGTTGAAGGCACCTGTGCTGACTTTGAGTCACCCTGAACACACTGTTCTTGCAGACTGGGAGCAGGCAGTGAAACCCAACTCTTAACAAAGAGGCACTGCAATGTTCTTACAACACTGAGTTGCAATTCTCAGTGATTACCTATATAGCAAGAAGACCTATTGAGTTGCTTGATTGTAGTGGAGCCAGGCTGTCTTTTTATACACTGAATCACCATAATCAGACTGTCAGGTGCTCTATGTGTTCATTTGTGTGGAGCCTCAAGGAGGCCTTGAACCTTTATTTTTGCCATAGGGGTGGGTAAACACTGGTGTTATGGTCGCAAATACACTCAGTCAGAGTCTTGAGTCAACAAACAGACTATTCAAAGGTTGCTCTTTATTTGGTTTTCGGATGAGCCATCAACAAGTTGATGAGGCCGTGGGGCTGTTTCCTTATGTTAGTTAAAGAATCCTGCATATTTTTCTGGAAAAGGAATGTTTTTGTTTACATGCAGGTTGCGTGGGCCTTGTGGGTGGATTCTGTAGAGCATACAGCCGGTGTTGGGCTTATCGAGATGAACATCACTGACTCTAAATGTTTGAAAGGAAGCGCTGTGTCTACACAAATCACTGTAACGCAGGAGGACACCCTTGGTGAATGCAAACTTTGAGAATGATATGTGTAGACAGACCCCAGTTTAAAATGGGAGTATTCACTATATATACGAAAGTTACTGACCAGGCAAACATTAAAGGCAACCGTCAGAAGATGGGCACACTGGGGTCATAAAGGGATGGACATGCTCAGGAACAGCACTCTAGTAGGCTGTGGTGTTTAAACGATGCTTAGTTGGTATGAAAATATTCCCCACGCAGGATGGATCCATGCTTTCATGTTGTTTCTAGCAAACTCTGACCCTAACATCCAAATATTGCAGTAGAGATCTAGATTCATCAGACTGGGCAACGTTTTTACGTCTTCTGTTGTCCATGTGTGGTGAGCTTGTATGAATTGTAGCCTGAGTTTCCTGTTCTCAGCTGACAGGATTTACACCCAGTATGATCTTTTGTGTTTTGAAGTCCATCTGCTTCAAGGTTTGTTGTGCTTTCAGAGATGCTGTTCTGTATACCTTGGTTGTAACGAGTGATTCTTTGTGTTTCAACATTAAATCTGTCTGGCCATTTTCCTCTAACCTCCAACATCAACAAGGTATTTTCACCCAGAGAATTTTTGGTATCAGAATGTCCTTAATATGGTCAATCTTCTGTTTACAAGGGGCAACCAATCAGAATTGGCTTGTCTCAGACATAGGAAGCTCTAAGGGAAGATAAATAAGGATTATTCTGAACTCTGATTCATGCAAAGCTACTTTAGCAGAGTCCAAGACTAAAAACACAGACTTAGTAGTGAGCATATTAGTATCCTTTTATTATAATAATACTGAATTCTATGCATAGTTTTGCCTTAATAAAAAAATCTAACATCTATAGGCTAAACTGTATAGTCAGCTAGGTCTATACAAGTTCAAGTGTGTAATTAAAGCTTTAGTAAAAATCAGTTCCAGCTGTCAAGCAAGTACAGCGCATCACCTCTCCTGGGAGGATGTTAATATCTAATTTGTGATAGACATTTTGTTTCCTTTTAAAACACATTTGTATATTACTTTAGTAAGATGACATGTGACCACAAGGTCTTAGTTGTATTTAAACTGAATAAGTCACCAGATCTATGAATACAACAACGAAGGGTTTTGTTAATGTTCCTATTGCCTTTGGGTGCTCTTTTAAACAAGATATTTAGAAGTGATGCTGTTCGCCTTCAGGCAAACACACTCGTGACTGCTCAGTGGACAGTTTGAAAACAGCACAGTATGATTGGGCTCCTGCAGCTTATTTACATACTGTTTGAAGGCTCGGGCGCAGACTTCAGAAGCACAGAGAATAAATGATATCTTAGAAGATTATATTTGCATATGTGATGCTAATACAATGCTAATTTTACGACCTTTTACTCCCAAATCAGGCACATGTGGAGAGAGAAAGGGTATTTAAGTTAGCTACACAAGTTTGATTACTACTACGTTTCTCCTTTTTCTCGCATATTAAAATCATGGTCACAAAGGCTCTCTTGGTGTGAACTCTTTAGATTTTCAATGTAAGAGCTCGACATCCCTGCCAACCACACCCACACACACAAACAAAAACATGTTTTCTGTCAAGATTTCACACATTACAAAATCTTTGTACAATTTGCTAAAAGGGTGTCCACACAGGAAGCCTCTTGCAGCAATGTGACGAGCAGTGACCGTGGGATGACAGTAAAAATTTGAATAGTGGTCGCAACTGGAAAAATAACCACTGGCGAGTAAGGGAATCAACCACCAATGGGTTTAAAGAAAATGATTGACATGTGACTGTGTGATTCATGAGTACACCCTGGACAGGTTGCCAGATCTTATTATTTTTGATTTTTAAAATGTAATGTTTTGTTCCAAAATACATTTTTTTACAGTAAATATAAATACAGTTTTAAAGAACAGCAAATATTATTTTGTTATAAAAAGCTTTTATTTTGAAAGGTCACGAAGTCCTGGCTGACTCTGTGATCTGAGCTGATGCTCAGAGAGTGTTTTTTACCTCTTTGCTGAGTAGTGCATTTCTCAAAACTGTAAGTACAGATTCCAGACTACACACTCGAGTCGTGCACAGCCGCACAAGTGCACACCTCAAGCACATTAGTGCCCTCCCCTGCCCTCTCTCTCTTATCAGGGTTTTTTTTTTATTTTTGGCCATATGGCTCGTGATGGGGTTTGGTCTAATCTTGTTTGCACCTGATTGCCATTGCACGTTCATCACCTACCTCCCTCCCTCCCTCCTTCTCTCAGGATGATCAGAGAGGAAGTGGTGTATGGAGCCAAGAACGTGTTTATTCCAGCGAATGCAAACACACAACAGCAGCACTCTCAGAAATTCCCCTGTCTATTATATACTGCGCCGCTGGAACAATATCTCTTTCTCCGACTGTAGCTTACTGCCTGTGCGCCGCAAACTTCCTGTCTCTGTCTGTTTCTCTGGGCTGCATGACTTTGTGTGCTATTTGTTTATTTATTTCTACCACTTCCTCATAAAGTGACAGCCCTCCAGTAAATCTTTAATACTGCCAGGAAATAATAAAGAGACAGGGGGAGAGGCAGAGGGTTAGGCAGGGTGCATAATGTAGTCAACACTTCAACCTCTGGCTTCAGTCTCAAGGGGCTGTGTACATGTGCGTGCATGTGTGTGTGCGTGTGTGCGTGTGTGTGTGTGTTTGAATGAGCATAAAAGCATGTCTACCATATTGTCTCCATTGTACTTGTGTTTACTCATGCTGGGCCCTGGTTGCTGTGGTGATATCACCTGATGATGCCAGGCTGTCTACCTCAACCATGAGCTCTCAGTCCCCTCCTCCCCTCGGACCCTTTTTAATCTCATCCAATGAGAAGTCAGCAGAGATTTCCATTCAGAGAAGAAGGTTATTGGACGTGTGTGTCGGTGTGTGTTTGTTTGCGCGTGTGTCCTTGGCTGGCACAAAGTACAGAGCCTCAGTACCAGAGAGAGGCTGGCACCGTGCTACATTGCTGTGCGCACAACTCTCTAATACACAGCGATGGCCAGATTAAGCTGCAAAGGGCTTTGGGACAAATAAGCTGCTGGGTCCCTTTTTAACAACCCTGATCCTGCCTTTACACCTGCAAATCGTATCACTGCGCAGGAGGACGCACGCGTCTACCCGAGTCTCGTGCTAGTGACAGCGTGACAGGATGTAAACATTAAGGGAGTCCTTCCTCAGCTGAGCTGTAATGTTGTCAGCTGCATGCTTCCTTACCAAGAAAAGAACTCATACCAGAAACTGCTCACCGCAGTGTTTTGGAATAAATGGGTCACGATTTCTGGATAAAGATGCTACTGTTGAGTTAGTAAGCAGTTTTTAACCATGTATTTCCATTATAATGAAAAGAAGGCACAGCTAACATCACCAAAACTAGTTAACTTTATTAACAAAGAATATCAAAACAGAGGAAAAACCCATACATTTGCTTTTGGTGTGAACTATCCCTTTAAGAATGCTGAATATGTAAGCGCCAGCTTAGCAATCGGCAAGCAATAGTGGGAAGGAAAAACTCTCGTTTTAGCAGGAAGAAACCTCCGGCACAACCAGGCTCAAGGAGTTGCAGCCATCTGCCATGACTGGCTGGGGGTGAGGGGATGGAGACACAGGACAAAAGATACACTGTGGAGGAGAGCCAGAGATTAATGATTAAATGCAAAGTGGTGTATAAACACAGAAAGAGTGAAAAGAAAATCAGTCTGAGGCTGAGCTGGGCTTAGAGAGTTCTTGTACATTGAAACATTGGCCATTTTTAACATGAGCACTAACCACTGTAACATTTTATAGGATAAAACATAAAGATATTGCCCCTCCGTAAGACTATTCTAAACACAACTTTTCTCGTGGCCCCTGAGTTGCCCGTTTGGACTGATTGGTGAATTCAGCCTTATACAACCATGTAGGAAAAACACACAAAAGTATAATAAGGTCACACGTCAGTCTGCTGGGGTTTTTATCTGTGAATTGGCCGCACGGGAAGCAGACAAAATGTCAGGAGCAGC